TTTTTTGGTTTTTCGAGACAGGGTTTCTCTGTGGCTTTTGGAGCCTGTCCTGGAACTAGCTCTGTAGACCAGGCTGGTCTCAAACTCACAGAGATCCGCCTGCCTCTGCCTCCCGAGCACTGGGCTAAATTCATTCTTAAGGTGTCTCTGAGTCTTCCTTCCACAGACCCAGGTAAACCCAACACCCACGCCGCAAAAATAAAATTTAATAAATCTCGTATATTTGTTTCTGCTGTTCTCTGCAGACATATATGACAAATGGTCTTTTTATAATCCCGATTCAATTAAAATTTAAAGCTGGCTTTGAAGCTGCAGTGTGACTCTCTCTAAAGCCAAGCATGCTTGTTAAAGAAAAAAATCTAAAATCTCTAATGTCTCGTGTCAGAAGAGTCACCTGATATAGGACAGAGGAAAAATCAAAATTAAAGGACTATTTTATTGCCACTAATCTCATAATCCTTTGGTTTTATTTTGACTCTTTAAAATTTACCTTAAGGTTTCCTCAAAATTTATAAGATTATTATATTTGTTTAAACTTTCTGCCATATTAATGATCATATCAAGTACTAACTCTAGAAATAGGCTTTGTTGGACTCTGGCGTCCAAACACCGAGAAGGAGTCGCCCCCAGAGACCACACACCACAGCCGATGCAAAAGCATGAGGATTTTATTAATTCTGTCATGACAGGGTCCCCCAGCATTCGGGAAGCCAAGGGACCTCGAATAGCGGGTACAGTCTACTTTTAAAGGGGCCACAGAAGCAAGGGGGGTTGTTCTTTGACTATTCTGATTGGCTTATTTGAAAGGGCTATTACCAATAATTGACTGGAGAGCTGTTGCCAGATCAGATGAGGTAAGAGGTCATTTTGACCTCGTTTCCCAGGGGACAGAACCAAAGCATACGTATATGGGTAATTGTTCAGGAACTGAGTACGTGCAAGTGTAGCTGTTAGGTCCTTGGTTCCCAGGGGAGGAGGGGAAGCACTATGGCACAAAGGCTGAGAGGATTCAGAATTGTCAAAAATGGCTTCAGGATTGTCTTAAAGTCTTACAGCTTCATCTTGCTTCCTGTTTGTGATTCCAGGCTTGAATCTAAAGCAGGTAACTAGGAATTAAGATTGTGTACATCAGATGTACATAACAAACTGTAACCCTTTATCTCTCCAAGATCTGCTGCATACTTAAAATGCTGACACTTAAAATGTTTGTTTTCTGCAGTGAACCATAACTGTGCCTAACAGCAACCTTTGACGTCTCCAGAAGGATGATGGGGCCCCAGAACTGTAAACAGAGACTGTGCTTTCCTTTCCCAGACTTCCAAACCCAAATAATCACACAAAAACTACAGGCGGTGGTGGCACACGCCTTTAATCCCAGTACTTTGGAGGCAGAGGCAGGAGGATCTCTGTGAGTTCGAAGCTAGCCTGGGCTATAAGAGCTAGTTCCAGGACAGGCTCCAAAGCTACAGAGAAACCCTGTCTTGAAAAACAAACAAAAAAAATTATTAATTACAACACTCTTTGGCCAATGGCTCGGGAATATTTCTAGCTAGCTCTTACATTAAATTAATCCATTTTTATTAGTCTATATTTGGCCATGTGGCTATGGCATTACCTCATTTACTACATATCTTGTTTCCTCCATAGTTGACTGGCATCTCCTTGACTCCATCTATTCTCTACATATATCTTTGTTCAGATTTCCCATCTGGTTTTACTCTGCTAAGTTATTGGCCATAACAGCCTTATTCATCAACCAATAAAAGCAACACATATACAGAAAGACACTCCATATCACAGAACAACAATTCCACCTGGATTGTGGTAATGCCACTAAGTTGACAAACCTCGCAAAGATCAGCTTTGGACTACAGACTGCTGAAACAACATGAAAAGGATTAGCTAAGATGGTCCAGCCTCATAGACTACTGCAGCCAGGACATCAGATAAGCCCTGCACATTCCCATCGCACCGAGACTGGACAACAGCTAACTCTCCCAGGATTTTATCATCATTTCAGTTTTTCAGGTCCCCTAAAAGTGCCATCATCCCAGACAACAGGAACTAATTTTAAGAACACAATACCCACATTCCCAAGAGGTAGGGTGGGTGGGTTTTGGTTGTTCCATGGATTACAGATGATTATCATCATTTAGAGAGTATTATTTGCAAGTATTGTTGGTCATAGTCAGGGAGAAAACTAAGCAAAGGAGATTAGATTCAGGAATCTTGTTCTGCAAAGAAAATGAAGGTATAGGAATAATAGGATAAAGGAGCAAGTTATTGAATCGACTTTTAAACTAAAAAAGCAATTACTGGTCTTAAATATTTTACATCAGTACGAATTTTGTATATTGATACAAATTTAAGGTTATTATTGTTATATTGTATATATATTTCTACAAATATGAGGTTATTTTTGTTATTCTATATGTGTGTTTCTATTCTTGTTTACGGTATTGTACCTATGCAGTTCATTTAACGATGTAATGTAAATTTCTAGTCCTTGAAAGTTATCATTACAAACTATTTAGGATGATAAAGTAATGCAGGTTACTAGTTAGTCTCCTATAACAATCAGACTTGTAGTCACATTAGGTGTGTCTTCAAGATCAAACAGATACATTTTAGATAGACAGGTAGTCCTCAAACACTTCAGAGATCTACAGAATACAGTATTTAAAATGTTTTAATAGCACAAGGCTTTTCTTGACAATGAGACACATCTGCTTTTGGCAGCACCAATATACTTCAAAAAAGGATGATGGGCATTGAAGAACCTCCACAAGGAGTTTGCTTTCTTTATTACAAAAGCTAGCCATTTGGGCAAGAAACTGCCCTTGCCTCAACTGCTGACAGTATGCTGTCCAAACTGGACCAGCAGGACGCACAAAAAAGTGACTGCTGGACTTTGCCAAGACAGGATGGTCCTTTAAAAATGTTTACTTCCCAGCAAAATCTGTCAGATATTCTAGGCCTGTGGACTAAAGACGGATGCCCCAACTTTACGAGGAAACTTAGCCAACTGTCCATGCAGCCAGCTGTTTCTGTTGTTTCTTTTAGTTTTGGAAGTTGCTTGTTCTCTACTTCTTTTTTACTGAGGTAATGTTATATCCTTCTGGGGTCTTTAATTGAGTTGAAAACTAGATAGTCATAGTTTTCATTAGTTATATTAGAAGATAAATTAGGTACAGGCTTTGGACTCATCCAGATAGAATACATAATTTGGTATTTCACACCAAATACAAATGACAAATACAAATTACAAATGATTGTAAATGTAATTCTTACCTGATAATTATTCTTATTGTTTATAGTTTTACCATGTTAGAGTTAAAACCTTATCTTCTTATTTAGACAAAAAGGAAGTGTTGTGGAATAATCATTTTGTACTCTGTGAAGATGTGTCACTTTGATTGGTTTATTAAAAAGCTGAACGGCCAATAGCTAGGAATGATTTTCAGGGCAGAAAGAATGCTGGGAAGAAGGTGGAGTTGCCAGCTACACAGAGAAGGAACAAAACATCCAGGAGAACAGATAAATGTCATGAGTCACATTGTAATACATAGATGACTAGAATTGGGTTAATTAAAATTATAAGCGCTAGTGGGACAAGCATAAGCTATTGGCCAAGCTTTCATAATTGATAAGAAGTCTCCATGTGAGCCAGGCAGTGGTGGCGCACGCCTTTAATCCCAGCACTCGGGAGGCAGAGGCAGGTGGATCTCTGTGAGTTCGAGGCCAGCCTGGTCTACAAAAGCTAGTTCCAGGATAGGAACCAAAAAGTTACGGAGAAACCCTGTCTCAAAAAAANAAAAAAAAAAAAAAAAAAAAAAAAAAAAAAAAAAAAAAAAAAAAAAAGAAGTCTCCATGTGGTTATTTGGGAGCTGGCTGTTGGGACAGAAAAATCCAGCTACAGGGCATGGTGGCTGCATAGTGAGACCCTGTCTTAAAAAAAATAAATTCTTTTGGGTGTATGTGTACATGTGTGGAAGGGTAGGAGGCACTATGTGCCATGATGCACACGTGGAGAGGACAGCCTCAGGTGCTTGTCTTCCACCTTGTTAGCAGCAGCGCCTCTTGTTTCCTTCTGTGTACACCAGGATAGCTGACTCCAAGGTTTCTCCTGTCTCCTCCTAGCTCACCACAGAAGAGCTGGGGTTAAAGATGTGTTGGTACCTCTCTGTCTTTTTTATGTGGGTTCTGGGAATTCGACATCAAGTCCTTGGACTTGTGTTGTAAGCACTTTACCCACTGCCTGCTCATCTCTAAGTGGCTTTCTGGGACTGGTGTGTGTGAGAGACCAGTTTGGAGGGACTCTCAGAAGCTGGGGCTTTTGCCAGAACTGTGATAACTTATTGTAGCTTCTCAATACAGTTGAGAGACAGGAAAAACAAGTATGAAGCTGCTGCTCATGCAACAGGGCATATTAGCTTACAGTAGGCTTTGTCTAAATATGAGTATGCTACCGTTCAAAAGCACAGATTACTACATGACTGGGTAACAGGCATTTCTTTTCATTATCAGTTATGCACTTTACATAATTGCATTGCTATGCTCTTACAGGACCAGCACTGCAGGTTTGTCTACACCAGCATCACCATAAAGACAGGACTAATGCACCTCCCTAAAACTTCACTACCTCATGACATCACTAGGCAATGGGAATTGTTCAGCTCCTTTGCAACACAGTCACTTTCCCATGTGTGGCCTAACAGACCAACGGTCATGTGGGATAGAACTATCATATAGAATCTCTGTCTCATAAAGAGGAACTATCAGACAAACCAAAATTGGAAGACATTGACAAAATAGATGACTGACATTCTTCCAAAGACAGAGGCCTAGAAAGATCACTCAGCTGTTAAGAGCACATGTTGCTTTTGAAAAGGACTCAAGTTTGATTCCCAACACACATATTAGGCAGCTCACAATTAATTGTAATTCCAGCCCTGGCTTCCATGAGCAGCCACACTCATGTGCAGTGTGCATGTAAAGACACACTCATACACACACATATTTAGAAACATCTAAAAAATAAAGACAAAGATAAGAATGGAAGAAACTGAGGAACTACCATCGACTGAGAACTGTGAATGAAGGCAACGGATAGTCCTACACTGGATCCTGAGAGAGAAAGTGAGCATTAAAGAAAAGACTGGTGAAACCCAGGCTGGTTTCATTGTTGACTTATATTGTTATGTCAAGGTTAATTGCCCAACTTTGAAAAAAAAAAACATTCTTTTGTTATGTAAAGGGACATAGGAGCAGCTGGTTGAAGTGTTCCTGGGAGCTTCCTGTTCCCAAAACTGAGTCCTCTGGAAGTCTAAAACTACCTCAAAACAAATGCATTCCTGATGTCTGATAAAGATTTGCATAGTTTCCTGTGTTTACTTGCCTATATTGATTGCTTTTTAAAATAGACATTCAATTTTTTCCTCCATTTTTCCTTTGTTTGGCTTTTTCTTCGTAGTGCATATTAACTGTTATATATTCATGTTTCTAATACTTTTTTTTATATGTGGTTACTTTCCTAATCTGTTGGTCTTGAAAAAATAGACGTTTTTGGCTTAAATGTTTTTTCATTTCAGTTTATGTGTGTGTGTGTTTGCATACATATATGTCTGCTCACCATAAGTGACCAGTACCCAGAGTGGTCAGAAGAGGGTGCCAGGTACCTTGGGACTGGAGTTACATACAGTTGTGAGCCTCCATGTAGGTGCAAGGAATCAAACCACTAGGCCAAGACTGGAATGAGGCAATGGGTGACAGAAAGTTTTGGTAGCCCATGAAGATGAATGGAGACAGATTTCAGTGAATCAGCTCAGTTTTATTCTAGAGTATAAGAAATATATGGGACTGGGGAGCCTGGGGACAAACCCTCATTTGCATTAAGTGGAATGCTCCTATCAGAAGGCTTAGTTTGTGGCAGCAGGGTCCCATAGCAGAGTCCCTAAGCAACAAGATCTGTACCAAGGGTCAAACTAAAGATAAAACAGATTTCTGGTTTAGAAACGCGCACGCCTTTAATCCCAGCACTTGGGAGGCAGAGGCAGGCAGATCTCTGTGAGTTCGAGACCAGCCTGGTCTACAGAGATAGTGCCAGGACAGGCTCCAAAGCCACAGAGAAACCCTGTCTCGAAAAACCAAAAAAAAAAAAAAAAAATAGAAACAGCTTTCAGATAAGGGACATTCTCCAATCCAGATGAGGGCAGGAAGCTTTGTTGGAGGGAGGGAGTTCCATGCTGTGAAGATAAGCTGCTAGGCGCGGGGAGGCTGCAACCTCGGACCAGCCAGCAACATCTTCCAACATCTCCCCCATCGTACTTTTTAATGGAGAGGTGTCAGTGTAAACCTTGAGAAACCCGTCACCTGTGTCAGAAGGGTCCAGGGTAACTGTAGTGTTGGTGGTCTGTCACCAGAAGAAATGAATAAGGCAGGGGGCAAGTATCAAAATAAAATATATCATAATCTGATAAAGGGTAGGAGCCAAGAGAATAGGAGGTTATGGAACCAGCTAATTTGCTCTATGGGTTTCTCTGCCTGTTTTAGAACTCACTCTGGAGACTAGGCTGGCCTCAGAACTAACAGAGATCCACCTGCCTCTGCCTCCTGAGTGCTGGGATTAAGGGCATACACCATTACCAGCATTACCAGGTGAAAACTGGCAACATACTTATTGATCACGCATAAATAGTGTCACACCATCGATACAACCTTAGATTCAGTACAACATGTTATCCATCCTGCTAACATTATTTACTGAATATAAAAGTCACTGATGAAAATGATCTTTAAGGATATAGTGATGAACCACACAGAAAGCTGAGCTTTATGCTATAGTTCATGAAGATGGACAATAAACAAAGTCTCAGATATATTAATTTTGGATAGTTATATTCACTGAAGGCAATTAATACCATTGTGCAGAGTGGAGGCTGTAAATAGTGAGCAGGTGGCAACCATGCTGAGTCCTGAATGATGAGAATAGGACAGGTAAGTGATGATGATGCAGGGAAACTTCCCAGGCTGGGCAACAGCAAAGCCAAGGTTTCCGAAGAAGGAATGTACTTGCAGTGTTGGGAAGGTCAAAATGGTAGTAGAGCCAAATCACAGTGAACAAGGGGCCTAGAGACTTAGATGGGGTGTAGATCATGTAGAGCCTGTAGACAGTTTATTATAAGTACAGCTGGGTTTTGTCAGGATCTAAGACGAGCTTAGTTAAAAATAGATTAGAGTTGGCTGTGGGAGCATACACATTTAATCCCAGTTCTCTGGAGCAGAAGCAAGAGGATCTCTGTGAATTCCAGGACACCTTGGTCTATAGAGT